CCCCAAAACCCCAAAACCCCAAAACCCCAAAACCCCAAAACCCCAAAACCCCGATTTGGGTGAGGAGGATTGAAAATTTAGGTTTCTTTGAGTTTAGATAGCCGTTTGTGTGTAATCTTTCCTCTGCGTGATTTTGGGGTTGCCTTCTTTGGTTTGGTGGGTTTTGGGAATAGAGGATCAAGTTCAAGCTTCATCATATCATCTATCATTCTTCTCAGATAATGCTTTAGCATCTCGGAACTTTCTTCGATTCAAGGGTTTGTGTTGACCTCTATCAACCATGCATTGAAGTCTGCGTCCAGCATGAAATCAAACCCGAAGAACTCAAATCCAAGTCTGCCCTTGTTGTTGTTAAGTTGCTTTCTGGCTGCTAGCAAAGTATGCCTAATAATATTCTTAATCTGAGGCAATCAGTCTCTCTTAAAATCAACATTACAATCTTCGATAGAGTCAAGATATTCTTGGAACTGTTTGAATGATAGCTGATTGCCATCTTCAAACTGACCATATCCTTTTAGCGATTTTTGGATAGCATTATTAGTAAGGTGTACATGGGGATCGTCAGGGTTGCTATCATCCATACTAAACTTCGTAGCAGATGTTCTTAAATATCCTTCTTTAAAGAAGTGTCACTTGCCTGTATGGCTCACTAGGACCCAAAGTCTAATATCAAACTTCCTATCATGAATCAGGAAAGGTCTTTCGATGTATTTTTGAATTACAAAACTCTTCATTTCTACTTTCTTGACCTTGTTCTTGACACTACTAGGCTTTGAGCTTGGTTCTGTGGATTGAGGTTGCGAATAAATTGCCTCGAAGGGTTGTTCTCTTTTACTATCTCCTAAAGAGTTATAGTGACTTCTTACCAAGACTGTATTGCTTTAAAATTTTATTTAAGCTCTTGTAAGCTATTAAACACATGAATTCATCTCCCTCTATTGAGATTGATAGCCTTTAGAATCCAGAAATTGCTACCTGAGAAATGACTTAGAGGCATAGTTGGAATAATATACCCTGAACCACCACCTTTAGAAGGTAAATTAAATATCTTAGTAGGCAAAAGATTCGGTTGGTCTTTTGAAGGTGGCGGAAGTGTTAGATCTCTATCTAAAAATTCATTCTTTATCTCTCCTTGTTCATCCAGAGGCAATTCTTGTATATTCTTTTTATTTTTCTCAAAAATATTAAAAATTGCTGAAAACTCAGACAAAGCTCCATTGATACAATTAGTGCTACTTGTGTCTACATCTAAAACGTTTATTTACCCCATACCTATGCAGTAAGTGAGAGGAACAAAATCAAAGCAATTAGCCTTGATTATCTGTCAATATCTCCTGATGTTCTCAAACATCTTTCTCTTCTGGCTCAGCTGAGGATGTCCTTCCAGGTGATTTACGACTCTTTTCAGAGTGTGGATATCAAGATCTTCAAATTTGATGCCTTTTGAAAAAGGTTGCCACTTGAAGTTGTACAGGGAATTGTAATTTGGAATCTCTATCCACCAGCTTCTCTGTTTCATTACCTCTCTGATCAACTTTGAGTTATTACCTGGAGCGATTACATACTTGAATTTATGGCTGAAATAAGCAGCTGCAAATTTAGAATCCTTCTTTCTGGCTACTTTCTCCTCTCCATGGTATTTATTTAAGTAGTAGTTTGGCTGGAATCTCTGAACACTTCTCTTTGAAGACATCTGTGGATCAGTCGAGTTCAAAGGGATACTCTGGCAAGCTCTCGTCCTTTTAGTTATCTTTAAGAAACTATCAAAATGCTCTTTTTCAATGATACTTTGCTCAGGAGGAAGACATTGATTCACAGCCATATCTGAATAAGTTTGGGATGTTGTCTGATTTTGTTTTGGGTTTTGCATAAAAATAATCTCTTGATCTTTATTTGGATAGAAAATCTTCGACTTGGTATGTTTTGTGCTCTGAATAGACTTCTTTTTACCTAAATCATATCCAGTTTGTCTTACTCGGTATTCCAATATACTATAAAATGTCGTAAAGAAGCTTACCAACTGGATGTAGTTAGGATCCTTTTGCTTTACTCTATTTATCAATATCTTTTTGCGGTTTTTCTATAAATAGAATCCAAAATCTAACCTTTTCAGAGTATTCCAGAGAGGAAGCTTTGTACTTTGGTTCGTTCAAGATGGAGCTATTTCAAAGGAGAACTGAATGTAAGTAATAAGATATTATACCTGATGGCTGTAGTTGATTTTTCTGCACTCTATTAACCATTAAGTATGATTTTTACTTTATTTATTGCCTTTGAGGGAGTAAATTGCTTGTTGGCTCTATTATTGAGGGGAACAGGATACTTCAAAATCTCTTCAATTTTAGCTGATTGCTTCATATGTGTAGCTAATACCAGTAAAATTATGGCAAACTACCTGGAACTTTGTGAATTGACCTTGATATAAAATATTCTTGTATATTCAGTTGCTCATTCTAAAGATCTTAAAACTCAAATTTTACACCAAGGTCATTACCCAGTCATTGCTGAATTGACCTGATCTTAGATTTATTTTGCTATAAAAATTTCACAAAACTATTTGCTTACTCTGAAGCCACTTGGCTTATTCTCTTGCTTGCCGGGTTGTACCTTCACCCACTGTTTGAAGTAGCCGACTTGGCGCATGGCTCTACTCCTATAGCGCTCTATCTCCTGGTCTAAACTTAAAAAACTCTAATACATTGAGAATGCCTAACTGCTGAGACCTTGTAGTGAGGCTGGAAAGATCTGCCTGTCTAAAGATCAAGAAAACGCTTACTCTTGTTCTCATTTTAGATTATTATTTGTATCAAATAAATTTAGTTATGATGGGGTTTTGGGGTTTTGGGGTTTTGGGGTTTTGGGGTTTTGGGG